GCGCTCGCCGACGCCGTCGTGGAGGTGTCCGTGCGCCCGCAAATCGCTGCCGTACCTTCCGGGCAAGCCGACCTGGTGGCCGAAATCGTCGATCTCCGCCGCGAAGTCGCCGCCCTCCGGGTCGGGAAACGTGACTTCCGTCGGCCGCGAAACAAGTCGCAAAACGGACGCCCCAGATATTCGCGATCGCGTAGTCGCGGTGGGGAACACGATTCCACCGACGGCAAGTGTTGGTATCACTGGAAACACGGGGACGCCGCGAAAAAGTGTCGCGAGCCGTGTAATTTCGTGTTGGGAAACACCCGGGCCGAACGCTAATGGCGGCTAGCGACCCCGGGCCAACGACGAGCCGCTTATTCATAACAGATCGCGGAACGAAGACCAGTTACATGGTCGATACCGGGTCCGATCTGTGTGTTTTTCCGCATACGCGAGTGAGTGGCCCGCGTGAAAAGACGTCTTACGTGCTTCACGCAGCGAACGGAACCGCGATATCGACGTACGGGTGCGTCGCCCTCCACCTAAACCTCGGCCTCCGTAGAAGTTTTTCGTGGAGATTCGTTGTCGCGGACGTTACAACGCCTATAATAGGAGCCGATTTTCTCAGTTTTTACGGCCTCCTCATCGACCTACGTGGGAAACGGCTAATAGATAGCCTCACGTCATTAACGGCAGCGGGACGCGTCGCAGAGGCCGACAGCAAGAGCGTCAAGGCGATTTCCGGTGAGTCTAGGTATCACGCGGTCCTCGCAGAATTCCCGGACATTACGCGGCCGTCGGGAGGACACCGCGTGACGAAACATTCGACGTGCCACCACATCCGAACGACGCCAGGCCCGCCGGTGTCCTGCAAGCCGAGACGTCTCGCCCCCGACAAACTGAGGCTCGCAAAGGCCGAATTCGAGGCCATGGTGAGGGATGGAACAGCTCGACCGTCGGAAAGCTGCTGGTCATCAGCCCTGCACCTGGTCCCCAAGAAAGGCGACGCGTGGCGGCCGTGCGGTGACTACCGCGCTTTAAATTCAAGGACTATACCCGACAAATACCCCGTACCGCATATCGAGGATTTCGCGCAGTGTTTGGCCGGAAAGACGATTTTTTCGACGGTAGATTTAGTGCGTGCATATAATCAGATTCCGGTACACCCAGACGATGTCCCGAAGACGGCGATCACGACGCCCTTCGGCCTGTACGAGTTTCCGTGCATGTCGTTCGGTCTGCGAAACGCGGCGCAAACTTTTCAACGGTTCATGGACGAAACGTTGCGCGGCCTCGAGTGGTGCTACGCGTATATTGACGATATCCTCGTGGCATCGACTTCGCCCGAGGAACACGAGCACCACTTGCGGGAGCTCTTCCGCCGTCTAAACGAGTACGGGGTGTTAGTAAATACGGCAAAGTGTGTTTTCGGGGCACCGGAAGTGGCATTTCTGGGGTACGCAGTGTCCGCGCGTGGCACTCGGCCGCTGCCAGAAAAAGTCGAAGCAATTCGAACTTTCCCTCGACCGACGACTGTGAAGGAGCTGCGACGGTTCCTCGGGGTGGTAAATTTTTACCGAAGATTTGTGCCAGCCGCGGCCCGAATCCAGGCTCCTTTGAACGAAGCTCTGCAAGGGAACGTCAAGGGTCGGGTCCCCGTCGAATGGACAACGGACAGGTTGCAGGCGTACGACCAGTGCAAGGAAAGCCTCGCACGTGCAGCCCTCCTGGTACATCCCGACGTCATGCTTCCGCTGGCCATTTTCAGCGACGCATCGGACTACACGGTAGGCGCCGTGTTGCAACAACGGGCACGCGACGGATGGCAACCTTTGGCGTTCTTCACTAAAAAATTGACACCGACCGAGCGTAAATATAGCCCATTTGACCGTGAACTCTTAGCGGTCTATAAAGCCGTTAAATACTTTCGCCATATGGTCGAAGGGCGCGAATTTTCAATTTTTGCGGACCACAAACCGCTGATCTTTGCGTTCGCGCAAAAGCCCGAGAAACATACCCCGCGACAATTCCGATGGCTCGACCTCGTCGGGCAGTTTTCCACCGATATTCGGCACGTGTCCGGCAAAGATAACGTGGTCGCGGACGCCCTATCGCGGGTCGCGGAAATATCGAGCGCCGTCGATTACGTAAAGCTCGCCGAATCGCAACAGCAGGACGAGGAATTGCGCGCGTTCCTACAGGCGAATTCGTCCCTCATTCTTAGGAAGGTCGCTCTTCCAGGGACGAGCACCGAGTTGTATTGCGATACCGCTACGCGTACTTTGCGACCGTTTGTCACGAGGCAATTCCGCAAGCCGGTATTCGCTTCCCTCCACGATCTTGCTCACCCCGGTGTTAGAACGACGGCGAAATTGCTATCCGAATGTTTCGTGTGGCCAGGTATCCAGAAGGATTGTAGATCTTGGGCACGGGCATGCGTACATTGCCAACGCACGAAAGTCAGTAGACACGTGTCTACCCCGACGGGAAACTTCGCCGCACCCTCGGAGCGTTTCGACCACGTCCACGTGGACATTATCGGCCCGTTGCCGATGTCGAAAGGATTCCGCTACTGTGTAATGTGTGTAGATTGGTACACCCGGTGGGCAGAGGTATTTCCGGTGAACGATATTACCGCAGAAACCCGTAGCATACGCGCTATTATTAGGTTGGATCGCTAGATTCGGGGTGCCTCGACAGGTTACGACGGACCAAGGACGACAATTTGAGTCCGCGCTTTTCGAACAGTTATCGTCGCTGCTAGGCATCCGGCATCTACGCACGACCGCGTACCATCCGCAAGCGAACGGCATGGTGGAGCGGTTCCACCGGCAATTAAACGTGGCGATCGTTTGCCACGCCAATACCGATTGGGCCGACGCGTTACCCATCGTCCTCCTAGACATACGAGCGGCCTGGAAGGAGGACATTAAAGCGACCTCCACCGAAATGTTGTACGGTGAGACCATTCGTCTGCCGGGCGAGTTCTTTTCAAACGCTCTGACGGCAAGCAGCGGCGCCGAAGAATTTGTCTCACGGCTTCGCGATTATTTTCGGCAGATTAAACCGTCTCAAGTGTCGCGTCACGGCGTACGGCGAATTTTTGTGTTTAACCGTTTGAGTGCCACGTGTCTTTGCTGTTTTCCCGTCCAAAAGTGCCAAGCGGCGCGATAGCGCTTGTCTTATTCCCTCTCCAAGAATGCCAAGGAGCGCTATTGCGCTGTTTTCAGATTTATACAGTAGCTGTAATTGTTTCAATTCATTGTTGTTCTGCCATCTTTCTGAGCGTAAGTACAGATTTATCAGCGTCTGGGTTGCGTCATATAATATAAGAATATAATTTAAATATTTTATTGCATATATAAAAGGTATGTACAGTAAAATTTTCACTATTTTTTTGTATTCTACAGTATAATTTTTTTATATTTTTATTTGATGCCCTTCAGCAATTAAATGCCTTCTAAACGTAAGACGAGCAATATAATAGAGGATTCGAAATACGATAGCGATGATAGTGAAGTTATTATTTTTAAAAGAAGAAGGATTAATGTTATCGACGATTCTGTTTCTGACAATAATATTCCTAATACTGGAGACATTTCAAAATATATCATGGTTACGGAAAATGAATACATTGACCAAGGCAATTCATTTCAATTCATTGAAATGTCGGGACCGCGATGCCGTTTATCTAATAGAGCCAAACCGATTGAATATTTTAATCTTTTTTTCACAAATTCTCTTTGGGCAATGATGGTTGAGGAAACAAACAAATATGCAGAAGAAATGTTATCAAAATCCACAAGAACTGATAACTCTAGAATGGTAAATTGGTATCCTGTCACTATCCTGGAACTGAAGGCATTTGTAGCCGTACTATTGGAAATGGGGATAACAAATAGACCAACAATATATTCATATTGGACTGAAAGTTCTAGAGCAATTCCTTGGTTTAAGAAGATGTTCTCAAGGAACAGATTTCAAAATATTTTAAGATGTTTTCATATCGTTGATAATAAAAAATGTTTTCCACCGGTGCACGAAAAATATGATCCATGTGCTAAATTCAATCCGATTGTTGAGCACGCCAATCGGATCTTTCAAACATATTACACTCCACACAAAATGTTATCTATCGATGAGTCTTTAGTGGGAACACGTATATTAAGCTGGCGTAGCCATTTGAAAAGGCCAAAGCAAAATTAATACGATATTTTTTTGCTATTTATTTGCTAATTATTTGCCAAAGAATTAATTTTTTTGCTCCAGCCGTTTTTGAGAAACAATGGCTACGCTACCGTAATATTAAGCTGGCGTAGCCACTTATTGTATCTCTGTACGTAAGACAGATATCAATACCATTCTTGCGGCATATTTTGTTGCTAATTTATTGCTCTTAATCCACTGAATATTAATTTTTTTGCCCCAGCCGTTTTCGAAAAACTGTGGCTGCTGTAGCTCAATATTAACCTAACGTAGCCACATGTTGTATCACAGTAGGTAACAAAGCTATCGATACCATTCTTGCGGCATATTTTTTTGCTAATTATTTGCTATCAATCCCCCGAATATTAATTTTTTTGCCGCAGTCTTTTTCGAGAAACGACGACCGCGCTGGAGCAGCGTTAATCTAGCATGGCCACGTGTCGCGCCTTTGTACCAAACACAGCTATCGATACCATTCTTGCGGCATATTTTTTTGCTAATTATTTGCTATCAATCCCCCGGAATATTAATTTTTTTGTGTGTTATGTGTTATGCTGGTCCAGCGCGGTCGTCGTTTCTCGAAAAAGACTGCAGCAAAAAAATTAATATTCGGGGGATTGATAGCAAATAATTAGCAAAAAAATATGCCGCAAGAATGGTATCGATAGCTGTGTTAGGTACAAAGGCGCGACACGTGGCTATGCTAGATTAATGCTGGTCCAGCGCGGTTGTCGTTTCTCGAAAAAGACTGCAGCAAAAAAATTAATATTCGGGGGATTGATAGCAAATAATTAGCAAAAGAATATGCCGTAAGAATGGTATCGATAGCTTTCTTAGGCTCAAAGGCGCGACACGTGGCTATGCTAGATTAACGCTGGTCCAGCGCGGTCGTCGTTTCTCGAAAAAAACTGCAGCAAAAAAATTAATATTCCGGGGATTGATAGCAAATAATTAGCAAAAAAATATGCCGCAAGAATGGTATCGATAGCTTTGTTACCTACTGTGATACAACATGTGGCTACGTTAGGTTAATATTGAGCTACAGCAGCCACAGTTTTTCGAAAACGGCTGGGGCAAAAAAATTAATATTCAGTGGATTAAGAGCAATAAATTAGCAACAAAATATGCCGCAAGAATGGTATTGATATCTGTCTTACGTACAGAGATACAATAAGTGGCTACGCCAGCTTAATATTACGGCAGCGTAGCCATTGTTTCTCAAAAACGGCTGGAGCAAAAAAATTAATTCTTTGGCAAATAATTAGCAAATAAATCGCAAAAAAATATCGTATTAATTTTGCTTTGGCCTTTTCAAATGGCTACGCCAGCTTAATATACGTAGTGGGAACACTGTGTCACTCCAGTATTACACAATATTTACCCAACAAGAAGCATCATAAATGGGGTATTAAGTTTTGGATGTTATGTGATGCAATATCAAAATATTGTGTAGCATTTTATTGTTATAAAGGTGCACAATCAAAGAATTCGCAAAATGGGCTTGGTTATGACGTTGTAACAAAATTATTGCAAGATGCTGATTGTTTAGATAAAGGATATCACGTATATGTTGATAATTATTTTACAAGCACTGCGTTAGCCAAATTTTTACATTCAAAAAATACTTATATAACGGGAACAATCAGGAGAAATAGGAAAGATATCCCCAAGGAAGCTAAGGAATTAAAAGTTGGAGAAACGAAATATTTTCGCAATGCCGAGGTACTTCTATGTGCACATCGTGAAAAAAAGAGTTCAAAGAACCCCGTTTTGTTAATTTCTACAGAGGCATTGGCAGCGAATGTAACATTAATTCAAAATCGCTATGGAAGAGAAAGACAAAAAACAAAACCACAGATTATCAATTCATATAATAATTATATGGGTGGTGTAGACGAATCGGACAAAATGTTATATACCTATCTGGACGAACGTCGTACAGTGAAGTATTGGAAAAAAGTGACCTTCAATATATTTACAAGAATGGTATTAAATTCGTATTTGTTGTACAAGGAAACTGTGGGAAGAGAAGCAATGTCACGACTTCAATATATATCGAATATTATTTCGGAAATAGAACATGAATGGTTAGGAACAAGGGAAAATGAATTAAACATAAGGAGGAAAAAGGTATACGGACTAGAAAAACTACCAGGACGCAACTTGAGGCGTTGCGTAGTTTGCAGTACAAAAAACAGTACTATAAAAAGGTCTAGACTAATTTGTGTAGAATGTAAAAAAGGTTTGCATGCATTATGCTTTGACAAGCATATTTGTGCATTTTAATTATATATTATATATTATATATTATAACGGAAATTAAAATTCGTTCTTTTACTAGTATCATTCATTACTTTTACCTAAAATGGAGTGGTAACCGTAAAGTCGCGCATCGACAAAAACCGAGCGTGTTGCGGTTATCGGTTTCGCAGCCTAGAGCGCTGGCACTGTTCGAGAGACAGAGGAGAAGCGCAAAATCGCTCCGTGGAACTCAAACGGTTAAGGACTTGTTGACAGCGACCCATGTGTTCGTGCGCCACGGCGGCTACAAGCGAGCATTGCAGCCCACGTACGACGGGCCATTCTGTGTAGTTGCGCGGCACCCGAAACACTTCAACATTCGTGTGAAAGATCGAGTGGTTCCGGTGTCGTTAGATCATTTGAAACCGGCGTACCTGCTCCGCGACGGTGAGCAGGACAACACCGACCCACAACCGCGAAGCACACCTACCGCACCAATCGAACCAGACCGCGTTATCAGGTCAGGTAGACAAAAATATATGTATCAACTGTTTCTGCTCATCCATTCCTAATAAAAAATGTACATGTACCAGCATATACATACATATAAATATATAATTAGGAATAAGTGAAGAGAAATAGCTAAACTTTTTAAAGGCATTTTACAAAACATCTGTATTATTAAGATCGAGTATTGTATTAATTAATCCTTCTTGGTTAACAGGACGTTTGATGCAGCTTTAATTACTGAAATGAAAAAACTTTGAATAAAAACTTACTTATATTATAATGAAATATAGTTATACTATTTAATAAATATACCATTATTTTGTGCATTTGATATAAATGCATCCACTTTATCGTGGTATCGTAGAAAGTTTGGTCTGATAGCACAATGGTATAAAACCATGGCACCATTATTTTCCACAGGGGCCATTAGCCATATATAAAAGAGGCACTATAACAAACAATAAAATTTTAACTACACACAGAATGATTTAAATTTGTGATAAATATATATATATATAAATAAATCTGAAACAATAGATATTTTTCTAACTCTGTAAATTCCCAGAATTTTCAACATCTGCCATAACTTGAAAAGTTACATATCGATAAAAATGTTTATATGTGCAGTCATTTTTCCAATTCAGAGAATAGGCTACTTTACATTAGACTTTGTTTGCGATTAAATTTAAATGTCTAAAAATCTGTTTATATAAACTAAAACATTATCAAAACAACAACAGATTTATATTTAATTTTTAGTTTGTTTCCAGATAGAGCACTATTTTGCTTACAACAGAGTAAATGGCTACAACGATTTATTTGTTTCTTCTCTCGGATGAGAGATGTATAATGTCATTCACAAGTATTACAGTAAACTTAAAATAAATTTCAAAATCAAAAGGCAATTAACATTTTATATTCTATACGAAAAATAAAAATAAATAAATCGAATGAAAATTAAAAAAATGGTTTCAATATTTGCTTCCTGTAAATATCACTATACATATATAATCACTAAAGTGAAGTATATTAAATTTTTATGAATTTTTAGTAACAGCCTTTACAACAAAGCCACAGGCGAAAGCTGTTATTAAATGTAACTGTACCTTGCAAAGCCAGTAAACTGGAAACCAGCATAAAATAAAATCTGAGAAATATTCAACAATGGTAAATACAGCAAAAACAACCCAATACGTTAACCATTTTGTGTCATCTTCTTTTTTTGGACTTTCTAAAGCTTTCATTGAAGAATAAGCAGGATATATAAATCCAAAGATATTACATACTAGTTGTTGTCCAATGCCAAATACCAGATAAAGTGCCAAAACAACAACAGAGCCTGAAAGATACAATAATACCATAATATTATTGGACATTAATATGCATAAATGGAATACGAATTTAATATAAAAATATAGTAAACCTGGATATATTTAGTATGTAGATATAAAGTTACTCGCAATCAAAATTGTATATAACACATTGTAATAAACGATGGTTTAATAGTTACAGAAAAAAAATGTTGATAAATAACAAATTACTGCTCTTTAGAAAAGAAATATTATTTTTTACTATAAAAAAGAAACAATAGCTTAAACTAAGATCAAATCAACCTTACACTTAAAATTGTACTGCAAATCAATTCTGCATTCATTTGAAAAAACGCTGCACACCTTTTTCATTTTTCGTTTGTTTTTTTATTATTATGTACATCTATTAAATATTATAACAGAATTTGTCGAAAAGTATTAAATCAATAGCGCTAACGATATTAACAAATAAAATTTAATTTCTCAAAGATCTCTTTAAGTTATGTTTTGACGAGCATGAATTTAAATAAGTTGTAAGGATTGTCGAGGATGGTCAGAGAGGCGTGTGGACGGATTCAAATACGCGAACACTAAACGTAACGATATAATTATATTATTTAATATTTACTAACGATTTAACATAAAGAACATAAAAGAAAGACATAAAACGTAAACGTAAAAGATCATAAACGTAAACTGTGACTGCTCTCGACTAACGTTCGATACAGAGTGACGTTCCTGCAGTCAAAGTCGACCCTTCCTTATTCCTATCTTATAATAATGATCTAAACAAAAGCGCGTTCGAGACGCAGTCCCTAAAACGTATTTTAGCTTAAACCTAAACACCTCACTCGATACCTACTCTAGCTTAGACTAAACACTCCTATCGACGCCAACGACAACGGTTCTCCGAACCACACACATACACTCCTTACAAAGTACATAATAAATACTTTGTTGCAAGTAAAACCCGTTAAAATACCATTAGTTGAATCTATTGGGACACTTTTCCACGTGAAATGGCAGCAGCATGATCGCGCTGTTTGGCACTTAGGCCGGCGGCGCACGAACGTTTAAGCGACGTGCGTTGCGGCAGACGTTACAACGTCCATTGTAGAAATACATTGTCGTATATTAGAGACCACATATTGCGAACGTGCGTCGCTTTCAACGTCCGTAGCAACGTGCGTTGATTTTTCATCGACGTATTTATGCTAGAACGCACGTTGGGATAAGTCGACGCATGGTTCTCTATTGTATACCGAGATATGCAGCAGGTCACACGAGCGTTGAACATCGAGAACCTTATTAGGTGGCTATCGTGATAGACAGTTCTACATTCAGCCTTATTTCTTCATATTTTATACCTTACGCAATTACAGAATTGTTAATCAATGAAGTCCAAAAAAGACAGTTATTGCCGACCATCTTTAACGAGGACTACAAAGACAAAAATAAAAAATTTGCAGCGCGGAATGAAATATGTGTGTTTTCATTACAAAATGTTCTGCCGTCTCTTGGCCAACTGATGCACAAAATAACAACGCTTGTGTGACTGGGGTTGTAACGATCGTTGTCCGTCGCAACGCACGTCGTTTTAACGCTCGCGTGCCCCCGGCCTAAACCGCCTTCTCATCGAATATACTACGCTGCTAGACCATCCGGATGATTAGGGGGTATCGTACCATCTCCCACGAAGCGGCGACCACCTTGGCCTGTTTCCGCCCCTGAAGCCCCTTGTTTGGAGAAATCAGCTAGTTTACCGGCGCTTCAGGGAGCTTCAGGAGGTTAGGAGACCATCAAAGAAGAAGACTTTCTCGCTAGTCACCATCGTAATTAAGATGGTGGCTAGCGAGGAAGCATGGAGTACGGTGACCTCCTTCTTCGAAGATTTATTAGCGCAGGAGTCCGCCGAGCGGTGACGTGAGAGGAACGCGCATCCCGCTTGTAGGAGGACCAGGGCGCGACGGACTTCGCCTCTTGGCTCCTTCCAACAGTTCTGAGGTCCCATGTGTTTCCCACCTTCCTTATTCCTTCCCTTTCACTCTTCCCGATTTCGATGGACCACCAAAATTTGGGGCGGCTCGTCAGCTGTCCTCTCCGGTCACCACACCGATGGCCGGAGGAGTGACGGGCCAACCTTGGGGGCTGCAGATGCTCAGTGCAAGGGGTTCGAGCACCGAAGACAGCCTCGGGGTCGCAGGCGTCGAGTAACTTGGCGTTCAAGGCGAAGAAATCAGAGGAGAAGGGTCACGCTCGTCCTTCCACGGGATGAGCCCCGTCAAGCATGTCGCGGCGGGGGACTCTGGGATGTCTTACTAGAGTTCGTGCTCCTCCGCCGCAGCGCCGGAGCGTCTACGGTGACCGCAGGGTTTTAGCCGGTAAGAATTCGGTACTATCCCGAGGCTCTCCCCTACACAAGGATCTTGGAGTGTCCATGAGGATTTTCCCGAGTAAAAAAAAAAAGAAAGAAAAACAGAAAGAAAGGTAAAGGGAGACAGAGAGAAAGAATTCAAAAGAGAGACTCGAACCTACAGTAAAAAAAGAGTATTGCCGAATAAGGGGGTCAAATGTGCCCCCAAACCAAACCAAATTGAAGATCCGATGGATCATTCGATAGCTTATCGAAAGAAAGCCCCATATGCCAATTTGTAACTTGAAATCTTGACGGTGGGGGTGTAATGGGGTGACAAAGAAAATAATGTTTTTGCACAATTTCTCTTGCCCTATTGAGTAAAAAAATGTAAAAAAAATTCAGAGACTAAAACTTTTCAGGTAAAAAAAAATAAAAAAAACCGCAAAAAATGCCGAAAAATGACGATTACGCATTTTGTGTTTCTATTTTCTTTGTTGCGTCCTATTGTCAATTACGATTGTTGTTTAATATCTCCTGCATCGAAATTAATGTGAAATATTAGTTTACCAGTCTCTTGCCTTTGACAATTGTAGATGGATTCGGGTAGTAAATTGTATATTGGCTTAATATTATTTCTCCTTCCTTTTAGATCAAATAGTTCTCTCCCTCTCTTTCTCTTTTCTTCAAAAATATGAATGGCTGCTACGGCTTCAATGTACAGAGTGTATTTGAAAAATTATCAACAGTTCTATTCGTAAGTAACTCAGAACAATCGTGGTACACGTACACATAGATAGTACGACCATAATTGCATAATGGTTGGTGCTTGAAAGGATTATTTGTGGACACTTGCGGACACTGTGGATTTTTGTGCGCAACATTGTGTATTGGAAGTGGCATTCACCCTTTCTCTGTGAAAATCTCGTCGGGCGAGTTTTGATATGCCCTTCTGGATTTTCAAAAGACAGGTTGAATCTTATTTAACGTAAGGTGTTCGCGTTCATAAGTGGACAAAAAACTAATGCTGTCGATAATGTCGGTAAGTAGAATTTTGATGCTGCGTGAGAACCACTAGCACTGGCCTGCCGCAACCGTCCGCACGAACGCAGCTGTTTAGCGGATTGTCATTCTACAGGCGGAACTTTAAATGTTAATAACTTTGCAACGAAGCCTCCATCAACAAATTAGTATTCTTGATTTTCGTCTTATTTTGGCCTCTACTATCGCTCATTAAAATTTTTGCTAGAGGTAGCCGAACACCCTGTATGTTTTGTAATAAGGAGTCCAAATTATGCTGTCATATTCTAGAATAGGTCTTGCCAAACCACAATCTAGGATTCTGAGTGTATTAGTTTTACTAAAGTATCTGGTTACTCTATGAATAAGACCCAGAGAGCAAAGACCATGCGAAATAATTTTTTCATAATGAACTTTGAAAGATAAGTTAGAAGAGAAAGTTATACCAAAATCTTTAACATGATTAAACGAGGTTAGTACGATACCATTTAGAGTATAATTATAAACTATATTATTCTTCTTATTATTAAACTTAACAATATGGCACTTATCTAGATTGAGGGACAATTTATTTAATGAACACCAATTCTGAAGCCAGTTAAGGTCATTTTGAATTGATCATCGGCATGTAATAAAAATTTTAAGTGTTGGAATACCTTAGAAATGTCATTAATATATGTACACTACCGGCCATAAGTGTTTGCCCACCCTCAAAATAACACAAAAACAAAGGAAATATTAATCAAAAATCAATTTTTTTAAATTTATTTTTTAATAGTACAACTTATATCTCTAAATCAGTTTTTTTCCAATTTTGTTACAAAAATTATCACAATTATATCTATATTTTACTTTCGTCGATATTTCCACCGTGAGCTTTTATTATTGCTTTGCATAATTTCGGCATCCTGTTCAATAATTTTGTAAGTGTGAGTGGTTCTATTCTGGACCATGCATCTTGTAGTTGTTGCCAGAGGGTTTGTGTAGATGTTGGGGCTGCTTTTCGTACCTGTCGGTCTAGTTCTTCCCATAAATATAATCCTTTTTTCTCGTTCCAATTGTTGTAAATACTCGCGACATAATTTGGAAGTGTGTTTGGGGTCATTGTCTTGTTGAAACACGAAGTTTTCACCGATTAGTCGCGTTCCAGATGGAAGGGCGTTCGTCTCCAAAATTCCTCTGTAAATTTCTTTATTCAATATGCCATCTATTTTGACTAAGTCGCCCACTGATGTGCTTCCGAAACAACCCCAAACCATAACCGATCCTCCTCCGTGTTTTACCGTAGGTGATATGCAGGATTCAAGGGCTCGTTCTCCTGCCGATTTTCGGACAAAGTTCCTCCGTTTGGAGCCGAATACCTCAAACTTAGACTCGTCGGTCCAGAGCACTTTTTTCCAGTCTTCCAATGTCCAATCTTTATGCGATCTTGTCCAGGCTAACCGTTTTGCTTTATTTTGTTTGCGTAGAAGGGGTTTTCGCATAGCAATTCGTCCATGCAAACCTGCTTTCCGTAAGCGCCTTTTAACTGTTGTCAAACTTACTGGTTCAGGGCGAGATGCATTTATTTCAGCTGTAATTTCCGGTGCCGTTTTTCTTCTATTACGTTTGCTTATTATTGTAATTACCCGATCTTCTGCTGGTGTGGTTATTTTT